TATATTTTATATTTATATTATATTTATATTTTAAAACATTATCATAGGTTCGATTAATCAACAGTCTATTTATGACCTTTATGTTTTTTGCACTCCTGTCGAGAGTCCAGTGCCATGGTTTGACTGGAATTTCATTGTAAATTTACGCAAAATAAATTCCTTTGGTTTTTGATATTTCCTTGTACTCATTGTTCCAATCCGTCTGAACTGTCTTACTTCATCGAATGTAAGGGGTAAATTAAATAGTTTGCCTACATTAGTGGCTGATTTGGCTAGGATATCAGTCTTTTCATTAATGGCAATGTTCTTGTGACCGGGTATCCAATGCACAATAAAGTTGCTCGCGTAGGAATTGTCCATGTTGAGGTGGATTTCGTCTGTTAAGTATGAATTTGATTCATTTATCTTCAGAGCCTTTAAGGCGCCTTGACTATCACAGAGAATTATAGTTCTACTGTATCTTTTTATATTAGATATCTTAACTGCCGTTAATATACCTATAAGCTCTGCAAACACAGATGAGGAATTATTTTCAGTCCTGAACATATAGCTAAAGTTATTAGGGTAATCTAAGATACCTATGCCTGTCCTATCACCATTGATGGATGCATCAGTGGAAAGAATGTTCCATCCACCTGACACCCATTCTTCAAGCTTAGCTTGATATATCGCATTGCATTCTTCGTTTGAGATGTCAGTATTTTTCCTGTCAAAGACTGACAGACAAATTAAGGCTTTGGGACTATGTTTGTACTTCTTGGCTTCATTATAATTGTCGAAAAGATCACTATATTCTTGGTACACAGCTGTGTAGGCAGTCTTAGCAGTGGATTTAATAACATCAAGGTCGGGTTTAGAGACTTTACTTTCAGTAGTTCTCTGACTGTGAGAATTTTAGCTCTGTGTTTGGGAGGTACAATACCAGCCAGAGCAAAGATCAGATGCGTCGATGTTTTTGGAGGCACACCCACGCAACGGCGAAGGCAGTCCGTCTGTGCATTGTTAAGAGACTTGGTGTTGGTAATGTTTAGATTCGAAAAACTAGCAATGGCATGTTCCTGCTGAGATCTGATGAAGGATTTGAGGATGTTCGACGAAACCTTGGGTTTGAGTCCCGCTTTGATGGTAGTTACAGCATGCAACAAAAGCTCACTTTTGTCTGATTTGTCCCTGGTTTTTGCAATGTGCAGTTTGTCTGACATGTTGGCACTAATGGCCCTGCCTAGGAAGGTAATTGACTGCCTTATTGGGAAAGTGATATTATTGCATGTAACTGCGATGTTATCACGTCTTCCTCTACTGCAAAACATAACTGAGGATTTGCTGGGGTTGAAATTAAGTCCTAGATCTTGACAGAGAAGGTGAAAGTCGTTGATCTTTGCCTGTAAGTTTTTGCCAGCATCATTTATGTTGTTACCTGTTGAGATGATGGCAAAGTCATCAGCAAATTGAATAATGGACCTATGTGAAATTTGATGCATTCTTTTGGTGTACAGATTGAAAAGTAGCGGTGAGAGACAGGAGCCTTGAGGCAACCCACAATTGATTTCTTTACTAAAGTTACCCAGTTTTAGGAATCTAGACGAAAAGAAATTGACAATCCAGTCAGTATGTTAAGTGGGAATGTGTTCATAATCCATTAGCATTTCTAGAGTTTGAAGACTAACGCAGTTATATGCATTATCAATGTCTACTACTACAATTGCAACGAATTTTCCCCTTTTCTTCTCACAGGCCATGGTATTGATGAGATCATTTATGCACATGGCTGCTGATTTACCCTTTTGGTAGGCATAAGATCGTCTGGGCATGGTGTTACGTTTTTCTAAGAACATATCTAGTCCACTCTTGATCATAAGATTGAGAGTTTTAGCCAATACCGAGATGAGGGAGATAGGTCGATAGTTTTGATAGATATGGAGATCCTTACCCCTCTTTGGGATGGCAATGACTTTGATTGTACGCCATTGATCAGGGACTCGACATTCTGTAAAAGATTAATCAGTACTGGGCTCCTGCGGGCTCTTATCATGTCATATGTAATCCTCCTGCAGTGTTTCTGCCCCTATTGAGAACAGCAGACAAGTCACTTAAGTTAAAGGGATCGATGTTTGGTGAAGCTGGCTTGACAGAGAAGGTATGAACTTTCGCCAACACAGAGACTTGGCTTTTAAGAAACTCAAGGTAAGTCAAGGAACATTCTGCATTAAGGCTGGAATTTACGGGATCATTAAAGTACTAGAAAAGCAAGGCTTTCCTTGAGTTTGGCTTTTGATTAGGTACCTCGTACCTAAGTATTACTGCCTTCTTCCATTCTACTTTCAGGTTAACCGCTTTTATGTAGCTTGTCAGACTTGGAGCTCTCTGTGCCTGGATCTGTGATTCGGTATATTTAAAGTACAACAGTTGCAATTCTGGATTCCACCAAGTCTTGGGGCATCTATTGTTGCTCAAGGAGTAGGTGGAGGCCCTAATGTTGTTTGTGAAGCTTTCTGTGATGCTTGAAATGTCTCCTGATGGCGTAGCACCTGTTAGCCTTCGAATCAGTCTATTCTTAGAAAGAAAGAACTTGGATTCTCCTTACACTCCGGAATTTCTATGAAAATAGGATGAAGCTGGCTGCCTCCAGGAAACTGCTCTAGGAACATATCCTTGGCATTGGTGACATTGTCACCAAACCAAGTGTTTCTGGCGTTAAAATCTCCAGCAAAAACCACGTTGCTCCTGCCGTCCAGTTTTTCAACTATGGTTTGAATAGCATTTTGAAAGGTGTTAGTCTTCATGGAGGGTTCAAAGTAGACTGATACAAAGGTGATATTTTTATTGAGGTTGGATGTCTTGGCGATGTTAACATCGTGCTCTGAACTAAAGGCTTAATGCCTTTTTAACAGCTATGGCTACACCTCCGTAGCCATCATATCTAAGTTTTTCCAATAGATCGTAGTTGATTAGATTTCTGTATGACATGGCATGGGAGAAAACTTTTGAGAAAATGGCTATGCCATATCCACCAGAGTTCAAGGTGTATTCTATGTCATTTTTGGTTTTTTTTTTGAGTGATTGTACATTAAGCTGTAAAATCTTAATGGACATGTTAGTGGATGAGGTTTGTATTGTTACCAACACCATGTTTTCTATGTTTCGAACTGCTCTGTAGGAATTTTCCTTTGATGTTTTGAATTATGTTAGTTCCGTTAGCTGACTTAAGCAGTATGAGAGTGACTAATTCAAACATTTCCTGAACTATGCTGACACTGCTAATAGTGTCATGATTACCAACCATCCACCTTATTTTAGCAAAATTGTAAATTGTATCTTTCCTTCCTCTCCTGTATCATATTTAATTTATATTTATTCCTATTCCATAATTAGCAGTTAATTCTAAATTTAAATTAAATAAATACTATAAACCATGTAATTTCTATTGTCATCAATTAATATATTTTATGTTATATTTAGTTGTTTTCATTAGTTTTTCAAACTCCCTTAACAAACCAAGGGAGCTTTCAGGGAAATTCTCCCCTGTGTCAAAACGGTCAGGGAAATCCTCTCCTGTGTCTAAACGGTCAGGGAAATCCTCTCCTGTGTCAAAACGGTCAGGGAAATCCTCTCCTGTGTCTAAACGGTCAGGGAAATCCTCTCCTGTGTAAATAAAAACAACTCACGCTTCTCTGTCTGTCGAGCACTAACCAAATAGTATAGTTATACTATTTGGTTAGGGTGACCGCGGAATATCAAGCAAATATACCGCACAACCCTCAAAAATATACCGAAATATACCTTCTCATTTTAAAAATATACCATAAGTGTAGCTTAGTCTTAAATCATATTCCTCGATGTTGATGTTCTATTTGATATTACTAACTTGAAAAGACTTTTAACACTGAAACAATAATATAGTCCGATTGAAGAATAATTTTAGCCTATTATAAATAGTCCTTTTTATCGGATTGTATACCTCATGACCTTATATTTTACAAATTTGTATTTGAATTTTTCATTCAAAACACCCCTTCTGGAAGCAATGAAGCTTTGTTTTCAGTATGTAAATGTATGTAAATTATTAAAAGAGACACATGTATGTTAACTGATAACAATAAAATATAGCGCGGCAACAAAAGAGGAAAATAAATTATATTGTTTTCCTGAAAATTGCACAATGCGTGGGGCGATAAGGGAACATAAGTAATTATTAGCAGTTCTATCTTTATTGGGGCTAGAATACGGCTTGGACATTGGAATCATTACCATCATTATCGTCTAATTAATCACCAATGGAAGGTGTTCTTTTAGTTTATATATTTTCTTTTATTTATTTATTTATTTATTTTCTAAAATCAAACATTATTATTTTTTATTAAGTTGTTCAACCAATAAAAAGTTAAGTGGGTGGAAATGGAATCCCAACCGATACCATATTATAGGTTGGTTCCGCAGATTGATTCAATTCGAGGATATCCATATCTGCAAGGGTACTAAATGTTGCTTATTCCGCGCCAAATGTTGGGGAACGGTGCTGCTCACTTTTTGCAGCATGCTGCTGGCCCATACAGATTATATTGGCTACGGCAAAAAATACGTAAGTGCGAATGGAATTTAATATAAGTGGAGATGAATAAATAATAAAGAGAAAAATGTATTCTTAAGAGAGAGAGAAAAATCACTACGGAGAAGAGAGAAAATCCCCATGGGATATTTGAAAAATTTGCTTCTGTCAATGTGGTGGTGGTAGAGATGAGAGAAAACTATCGATAACAGACTATTAGAACAGTGTGGATTTATTAATTTCATAGGTATTTTTTAGTTTTATTTATCTTGAAATGAAATTGGTTTGTCATTCATGGTATGCTTCCCGCGTTTTTTGGTTAATTTCACAGAATAGCTGATTTTCATAATCAGTGCGGAGTCACGATATCTGTTTTCCAGACAGCTAGTGTCCACGGTGTACATGCCGCAAATATTGTCATTCTTGCAGGCCTGTCCTAGCCTCGTCTGCCATTGCTTGTAGTATCTGTATTTGCTGAGTTTTTCTTTCCTGGTGGAAAAGTCTAGCCAGTAGAACTCACTAAGAGTATCCAAGGCAATCAGCTCGTTTTTCCTTTTCAACGTCTTGTTATAGCTTGCGTGTCTGAGGGCACTAAACACTTGCTCGGTGTTAAAGCAATTGATAAACATGACCTTACGTACGCATTCCTTTGCTATTTTCGCCTGCTCCGCCTCAGTGGGAGCATCCTTGCCCATCCAATCCCGCAGTTCTGCTCTAACGGCTTTTTCCAGTGACTCCTGGTTGATTTTGTGGCTGAGACTGATGAATCCAATGCTCCATTGACGACCTCCGTACTTGTAGGGAGCCAAGCAATGTGCCATTAGCTTCTGCATCACCAGACTCTTGCCGCTCTTGGATGGTCCAGAGATCTCGACTAGAGTTCTGTCCTCAAAGCCGCACTTTCCAAACACTTCGAAATGAAGCTGTCTGGAAGTCGCGTCCCAATAGTCCATTTGATTTGTGTTGTTTATTTGCGCTCTATTAATATAGTCGCCGCAAGCCAGCCGTTGTTGAACACTGCATGCCCTTATCGATAGTTCGCTGTCAGGGTAGTCATATATATGATATATTTACAAAAACTTCGCTTCGAGTACTCTGTTTAATAAACAATTTTAGTGAATAATATAAAGAATGCAATAAAATGAGCAAGTGCATCGCAGATCTAATTGACAAGCAGCACGGGGTCGCAATGTAGCAACGCTCTGCTACCTCCAGGTGAACCACGCATAAAATATAGATTTCCACTTGCACATGCATTGCATCTTCTCGGAAGGCTGTTCCCCATCGGCTTCGGCATTATGCGAGATGCCGATGCTCCTGCACCAGAGCCAAGTAGCAGTGGCGGGTTGCTGGATGAGGAAGGGTGCAACGGCCAACAGCAGAAAGGTGAGGTGGACGAAAACGCGAACTGCACCATCTGTGGGGCCGCAAAATCGTCCGCCCTGCTGGACCTCAGGTCCAATCAGGTAATGCAGCGCCGCCTCAGTAGGGACTGGAAGATGCAGGTGAGTCTTCCGCAGCGTTACTCGCACACTGAAAGTTATCACTAACCTCCACTATTGCAGGCCGATGTAATCCGATCTACACTGAAAGCCATATGCGTAGAGTGCGTTTGCAAGTTGAACATGCATTCGGAGGTCACGCGCTCTCTGATGCAGCGGATGCAAAGGCTGCAGCATGAAGGAAGCGGCCCGTCCACCGTGACGACGACTACGGTTACACCCACACAACTCAGTCCTCCCATAGCGGATGCCGAGGTGTCCACTACTCTGCTAGATGTGCAGGAAGTCCAAATGCCAGCCACTGACCAAAGCAGTCGCAGCTCACGGTCCTCTTGCTCCGTACTAGAAGCCTACGCTGCTCAGCCACCTGAATCTCCTTCTGCGACCGAGTCGGGCGGCACTCGCAACAACAGTGTAAATGCCCAGGACGGCTGGAAGTGGCGCACACGGCTGGTCTGTCAACACTGTGGGCGAACCTACTTCCGCAAAGACTATTTTACTGTGCACTCACGCCGGTGCAGGTCGCAACGTCGTCTGCCCAAGGCTAGATGTCGTGTTCTCAATGAAGCCGGCAGTGATGAAGACACTGTGTCGCCTCGTACGCTGCAGCCGTCCTTGCGCCCCACTCGCACCTTTCACTGCCGCCACTGCGAAGAGGAGTTTTTTACAGTAATAAGCCTACGCCAGCACCAGCGCAATACCCACCAAACCCGGCATCCGTGCAGTCTATGCGAGGCGTCGTTCGACACCAAGTACGAGTGGGAGCTGCACCACACAATTTGCAGTGCCAAGCATGAGGCAAGTACCAGCTCGGATAATTTATAAAACCGCAGGAGTTACTGTATACTTTCCGCAGGCTCTAGAAATCCACCATATGGATGAGACTACGCACAAGGGAAGGGCACGGTCCACACGCTCGCGTTCGCGGGCATGTTCTGAACATTGGAATAAGTACACTACCAACGCCCAAGTGGACGACGATGACAGCGAATGTGAAGAGCAGGAGCTGGAAGAGAATGAACATGATGACCAGGTGGATACCATGTACACACGGAGAATGAACTTCACGGGTGACTGGATTGTGAACCACAGTCGAAGCAACAGCAACAGTGCTCTCAACCTGTCCCGGCTGTACGATAACTATGTGCTGGAGGAGTCGCACATAAGAACAGTCAAGGAGTACGGTAATATACAAATCATCTAAGAGGCGTAAAGGCCGCTTTTGAAAAGGTTCAAGTTATTGTTTGAATCGCCAGATCTCCACATGCTTAATTTGCTGAAGGCGCAAGTTCAGCTGAATGAATTTGTCTGCTTCACCTGTGGCTATCAAACGGATTCGCTAAGTGAGTTGATGAAACACGACTACATGCGTCATTGGAAGATGAGCTGGTTCTACTGCCAGAAGTGCGGGGACGTTTTCACCAGCAAGTATGTACAACTATCTCGAAAAAGCTATTTTGTAACATGACCTTTTGTGCAGAGTCTTCCTCGACTACCATCTGCATAGACAGAACCGCGGCGTGTATATTTGCCACAAGTGTCAGGACGAGTTCGAATACCAGAATCAACTGGACTGTCATCTGGTTCTCCACGACAAGGGTATCAACTACCAGTGCAACTTCTGTCGCCTGGCGTTCCTTAGTGAAGCCAAGCTACTGGCCCACTGCGCCCGTTGCGGACACAGTCCCAATGACGACCCACCTCTCATCCGGATCGAGCGCGCCATTTCAATCAGCAATTACCCGCCCGGCCCTGAAATCAGCAACCAAAAGTGGGAGTACGAGGAACGAGAGCTGCTCCTGCCCGGAGACCCCATGCCATCCAGCAGGCCTATGCACTTACCCAATCATAAGCCCTTCCGATTCGCTATTGGAATCTGCGATTTCGAAAACCGCCACCAGCCCAATTGTGCGGGCTGTCAGTAATTTAGGTGGAAATTTAGTGAAAATTTAGAAGGGCCAAATCCCAAGACTTTTACCTCAGTGTTTTGCAATATTAGCGTCTAGTTAGATAGGTAATCTTGCTTGTATTGTATTCGTTTTAGTCCGATTCAAATCCCAATTCCCAATCGCAATGGAAAAGATCCAGACTGGGAGGAACTACAACTATTTTTGTAACAGATTATTGTAATAAAGATAAACTCCAGACTGAATGGCGACTCGGCGGTAGTGAGAGTTCGATTCTCATCTTTGATTGATTCAGTCAGTTTATTTCGCATTCGATCGCTTATCATAATGTTATGAAAGTCAAGTGTCTAGGATTATGCTTTAAATTGCATTACAATTTTTCTTAATTAATACTCTAGATCTAATAACTGCATGTCGATCTTTGTATAACTCGTATGGATGTGCATGTGTGTAATGTATGTCTGATGTATGTGTAGACTATGATTTTATGTACAGAGGTTACTCGTATAACAAATTAACATTATCAACCGTACGATAACATAATTGTATCTGTGTAGGTGTTTATAATTAAAGAGCCTATTGCATTGCCCCCAGCGCATGTTTGTTGGATTTGCTTACATATATGTATATATTATTTGTTTGTTTTAGTTTTGCCTATGCTTAAGTTCTAATTATGTGTAGAGTCAAAGTTGTATTTGAAGTTGTTTCCTATAGACTAAATCATTAATTTTAAGCTGGGTTAGAACTAAGTAAGTTATTTCTGAATTTGTACGCTCAACTGGATTGGTTACCACTTGTATTTTAATTTGTATTTGTATTTAATGTGCTCGGCTCTGGTTGCATATTTTCGTGGTACATTTGAGTCGTTTGAGTCGGTGTCAGTCTTATAAAATTCAACCCAGGACAGTGCTTATTTCTAATATGATAATGACAAGGTAACAAAGAAGTTCGTTCTTCAAAAAAATCTAGAATATGCTTTATCGAGGTAGTTGTGTTCATATCTGTTTCTGTTCTTATAGAGGTCTCGGAAATCATAAACATAAGGCTTTATACGTTGTATGTATGAATGTATGTATGTATCTATTATAAATATCTAGTGCTAATTATTTTTTAAAACAAATCACTGGCATTAACAAAGTTGTACAAAGTTGTATTGCTAACTCATTCTGATCTGATCCTAACTGTATCTGATTCTGTCATATGTTCCTACCCTACAGGGTATCCGGTAGCCTCTTTCGCTCTGCCCTTGATCGCCTCTAATATGCGGATTCTTCCTTCAGTCTTATGTAATTGTATAGTTTACATATCTTTCCTTAGCTATAGCTTGGGTCAAGGGTCTCCGACCAATAAGCGTCAAAGACCACTACTAGCTAGCTAGTAAGCTTAAATGGCCATCGAGTGCCCAGAATAAGTGTCCGATTGGGGGGTGTCTGTGTCGCCTAGCCTAGTGTGTGTTTGTGTGTGTGTGTGTGTGTTTATGTGTTTAACCTATGCATATCCTAGTCTAAACTAACGTTTCTGTATTAGGCACAAAGTGATGCTGACAACAATTTCTTTTATTGTAGATTGTGGATTTGATTTGATTTGATTTCCTCCTAAGGTGCAGATGCTGTTGTGCACCCGCCTCGATTTGGATGAGGGGTTCTCGTTTAAAGCTTCACCAACGCAGATCGACTGATCGCTGATCGATGTCGATGCCATTGAGAAAACAACATTTTAGTCGCACGTTGTACGCCGAAAAGAAAATAATAACAGAAGGGGTAGGGTAACATTGGGACGGTGTACTGGGATCGTGGATCTTGCCTAGCCGGCCTAGCATATGGAATCGTAGCTGTCCGCCGCGTACTGCCAGGCCATGGTGAGCGTTAATCAGTCGGTTCTGGCCTGCGAATCCTCTCCGCCAAGTAGCTCCCGCTTCAGACCTAGACCTAGGGCAACGGGCGGTGGTGAGTGGGGATAATCCTCGTGATCCTTTCCATTGGTGGAGGCGCTGTTTGAGTGCATTATCACACTGGCGCTCTCGACCGGCGAGGAGGCCCGTGGGGGACGAGGAGAGTATGGCGACTCGGGGCGTTCTTTGCGTGCCAGCGAAAGATCTTCCACATGGTCATGATCCTGATCTTGCTCCTGCTCCTGCTCATGATCATCTTCATCGTCAGCGTCCTCGCGCTCATCCTGGTCACGCTCCCTCTTGATCAGGCGTTGCTCGTGCTTCTCCATCTCAATCTCCATGGCCTCGTGCTCAGAGTAGTGTTGAGCCCTAGGACTTGGAGATCTGGCTGCGTGTCCATTCGACCCAGACTCTTGGGGGCTGCTAGACATTCGGTTGGCAGCTGCGTGAGCTGCCGCTGCCAGGGCCATGGCATGGAGTGCTTCACGTCCGGCCATATCCCCGCCTCGATTCTCCAGGGCCTGCTGTAGGAAGGCGTGATCAAGAAGGGCGGCTGCCGAATGTGGAATGGTGGGTGGCATGCCGTGGTGTCCGCCTAGATGACCACTATGCTGGCCATGCTCCTTTGGTTCACGGTCTAGATCCGCCTGGCCATGCCCGTGGACATGACCGTAGTTGTGTGCAGCTGCGGCAGCGGCTGCCGCGGAGTAGGGAAAAGCGGCTGAAGACTCCACGCCGGGTGGGCTACGCTTGGGAGTGCGATGCGTGCCACGACCTGTAGTGATGTTTAGCTTGCGAACCTTATCGTAGAGGGTGCGGCTCGGCAGTCCATACTTGCGGCTCGCCTGGAGCGCGCTCATGCCTTCCCGAACGGCCTGAATGGCACACATCATATCCGCCCGGGTGTATTGCTTATAACGCTTCCACTCCGGCTTCTTGCCGCCCGGCCCACTCGTCTCCTCATCAAAGGAACGATCAGTGTGTGGTGATAGGGGCTCCTTGTCACCGCCGTAGTCCGAGCCGTTGAAGCTGTGGCTACCGGTACCACCGCTCACGCTGACGCCGACTCCGCCTCCGCTGTGATGCTGGTGCTGGTGCTGGTGCGGGTGCTGGTGCTGATGCTGATGGGTGGGAGTCTTCTCGTTTAGGGAGGAGGTGGAGTTGCTCTTCAGTAGTTGAGGGTTTGGCTGCGAGGAGTCAGCTGGGTTTGCCTGGGCTAGCACATTGCGCAGAATGGGGGTGTCCCGGGTACTGTTGAGAAGCATGCTTGAGATTGCCGAGAGTTTCTTGCGTTTGAGAGGATTCATGTCGGCTGCGGACTCATACACGGAGTTTAGCATGGCGGCAGCGGCAGCGGAGGGTGACAGAGGCCACTGTCCAGCCTCACCGGCTACGGCGTGGGGTGCCGAATGGGTGGGCGTCAGGGGAGTCTCTCCGGCTGGAATATGGGTATGTGGATTGATAGTTCCACTTCCAGGCGGGAAGTTTGTATACGGCGGCTGGTAGGCTCCGAATGGCGGCGGCGGTGGGGAGCAGCTGCTCGAGATGGCGGCGCTGGGCGAGATATGCGTGGACGTTGAGATCACGGAGGAGGAGTTGTGGTGCTGCTGGCCAAAGGATCCGTCGGCAGAGGACCCGTTAAGGGGCTTTCCAGAGCCAGCGCCCAGTCCCGAGCTGGATGTCGGCGTGATGCTGGCATGGAACTGGCTTTGCGCACGATCCTCCGATGCGCTGGACGCCTTGTGGTTGTACTTCATCAGATTGTCGTAGAGCCCCTTGACCTGCAGCTCCTTGGCAGTGCGCAAGATCTCCGGCTCCTGGCTCTTGGTCACCGTGGTCTCACCCGTGTACATGTACTGTAGCAATGCCGCAATCTCGAAGCCCCTCACTCCTGGCAGGATTATGCTGCACTGGTCTTGGGGCACTTCCTGCAGTATGTGCTGGAAGTACGGCGAGTTTGCCGCCAAAACCACACGGTGTGCCTTGAACTGCTCATCGTCAACGACTAGGGTGCAGTCGACATAGCTGCCGACCTCGTGTAGAGCGTGCAGAATCTGCACCAGATTTGTCTGGTGATTGTTCCAACGCAGGCAGTAAGTCTGGCCTTCGCTGTTGGCCACGGGCGCTGTGGGCCCGCCCATCTCTCCTGCCCTGCTGTTCTGGCTGTGGCCGCGATCCCTGTGACTCTGACTTTGGCTATGCGCCCGCTGGCGATGTGCCTGTTGATGGACTGGTGACTGGTCCGGCTCCTCGTCAGGAGCGGTGTCGCTGCTGCTGTGGTAGACGCTGTTCAGGCTGGTAAACGCGGCACTCAGCAGCGTTGGCGAGTAAGAGGAAAGATGCTTCCGGACTTTGAGCGCCAGTTTAAGGCTTCGGTGTCACTGGAGGGCCTGCCGAAGTAGAAAAAACAAATATCCGTTTAAATTAGTAAACGATTTTGGCTCCGATTATTTGCTTTTTAAACTTTGCACAAATTTCAATATCCCAAAATGTCAATGAGGAAAGCAATTTCAAATTTCGCATGGGTTGCTGAAACAAGGTAACGTTCAACGAGTAATTTTCTCAAACCAGGCTATCCACCAAACCAAGCTGGCCAAGCACACACGCGTATATTTACAGGTGTGCAAAACTGGGGATGGTCACCTCCTTCCTCCTTCGCCATTGCAAAAGTTTCCATTTCCCATTCCATTTTTTTCTGTATTTTGGCGGAAAATCTTGCCTGTAAAATGTATGCCCATCGCCACCACCCCCAAGTTTTATGCGCCATAAAAAGTGAAAGCGCTCCTTGCCAATGAAGGAGGCATAGGCTAAGCAGAGCCAGAGGCAGGGGAGGGTGAACGAAAACGTGTACAAAAAATGGGGAAAAAAATATGCAAACATCCCTCGAAAGATGTGTGCGAGTATTTTTCCGGCTGCTTTTCGCGCGTTTTACTTCACTTATACATACATAGACATATATATGTATATGTAAGTAAATATATATGTATATACGTAAATACGGAAGTATGTATATGTATATCATTTTTGAACGCCGCCTGGAAAATGGAAATGGAAAGGCAAATCACCAAAACACCCACACACAGGAAAACGAAAAATGTTACTGAAAAACTTGCAATTATTTTCATTCACTTTCCGAGGACTAGAAAGACCACATGCCCCTGCCCTTGACTTGCCCATGGAGAGGCCAGACTTGTAGTCGAATTTCAGGCTCAAGTGGACGCCATATGCCGAGCCGATGGCCCATCAGCGTCATGTGTTGGACATGCATCATGCATCGGGCAACCTGCCTCCCTCCCGCGTCCTTGCCATGTGTCGTGTAAGTCGTCCGTGCCGGGCCATGTACGAGTATATACATATGGGAGTCTCCAGTTACCAACAGGTATGATAGGAGCCAGGCCCCAGTCAAGCAATCGTTGGAACTGCGAACCATGCGAAGCCCGGCCAGATAATGGCAATCAAACAACAAGGAAAATGTCAAAGGGGCGAGTCCCCTGAGAGCGGAGATGGCGGGGACAGAGAAGAAAAGCGGACAATCAGACAAAGGAAACAAACAAACGATCGCATTATTGTCGGGGATGGTGATGTGATGGAGGTGGAGTGCGGAAAATGCGCAAGAGATCATTAATTGTTATCTGTCCATTGTCTAGCCAACAGGATAATGGGCAACCTGCAGCGATCCCTTCCCTATCCACCGATCCTTCGCTGCCGTTTTGCGCAACAGATTGAAGTCGCTGCCTGCTTCAGCGTATCTCTCTCTGTCTGAGCAGGTAAGCGGTTTCGAATTCGTTTCTGGGGATCGACGTTGGCCTAGTAAGCGCATTAGATGTGGCCATAAGCCTTCAGGCAGCGCATTAACGCCTCGTTCTGGTCCTCACAGAAACTCTCATACTGGCGCGATAACACGCATACGTCGTGATCGCCAACATTCCGAAAGCTCACAGAGCTTTGGCTAACAGTGGGCCACCATTTTGTATAACATTTAATTCAAAATTATCCAAAAATAACATTTGGCCGAACGGACGTCATTGAATCGAATGCACTTGGAAACAGGTTTAGGGTTTTCCAGTTTTTTTGTGTCAATTTCTGAAACACGTACCACGAATGCCAGTTGCGAAACTATAAAAAAAATGCTTTTGGAAGCCTAAACGAATACAAAAACTATTAAAGAGCTACTATGTACACTAATTTAATAGAGGCAAATATCTGATAAATAATCAAGGCTTACCACAAAATAATTAAATCGCCACAGGCGAAGCACGGGTTTTTTTGTTTAGTGGCCAAAGAGAGTCCTGGACACTTGCAGTGGTTTGTTGATATCTGATATTTTGACAAATTGCTGTGATTGTGTGACAATTAGGTTTTTGTTTTTGTATTTTAGTTTGTCTCGCTTTTGAAGTTTTCACATTGCCCGTTTTTGTATTGGTTTAATTTGTTGTGCTTAGAATTAGTTATCGTTGAGTGTTAAATTAGGTAAATCCAAATCGAAATTGCACTAACACCCGCACACACAGACACAAGTTGAGGAAGCAGCTTATGCTTATCCCAGATGAAGTTCTTCAAATCTTATGATTCCACAAACTGCGACACGTTTGTCGTTTTCCTCTGGTCTTGCGTTATTGGTTTTGCGTTGTTGCAGATTCGAGCGTTCAAAGTTGAATAAAACTGCCACGGCGCTCTATGCAGCCAAGTCATTGAAGACCAAATTTCCCGACCTACCGAGCGAGACAGCAATATACAGAGATGGAGATAGCAATAGACGAAGGGGAAGCAAACTGTTCGACGCATGGAGAGGAAAACTGTCCTACGGCTCGGCGCACCCTCGCGCTCTCTCGCTCGTGCACGCATTCACTGCTTGCAGTCTTGTGCGTTTTTTGCGCTTGCACTCTCTCACTCGCTCTTTCTCTCTGACTCTCTGCCTGTCTGTATGTTTTTCTGTTTCTTGCAGTGCGTGAGAGTGATGTGCGTGTATTTGCTTGTGTAAGTGTTTGTGGGTTGCATATGGCTGCTGCTGCTGTCATTGGCACCAATATCGGTGGCAGCGAGAAAGAGAGAGTTGCAGTGTGCGCTCCTTTTTTTGGCGACTGCATTTTCGTGCTGTTCCAACTGACCAAACCTCTTGAGCGGCCGGACAGACGGACGTGGCAGGTTGTCAGTGCGTCGAAAACTGGTATTTGAGTGAATTTTCGTTTTTTCTCCGCTTTTGGTTTTTTATTCGGGGGCCCCCCCTTTAAACGCAGCGGTGCCGTGCCCGGCAAACTCTCGCTCGAAGCTCGGCGCCATTTTGAACAGCGTTGTACGCTTTGTTGCTATTTTTTATGTTTATGTTTCTTTTTTTTCTATTTCTTATTAATCTCTTCTAGTAGGTAGAAAGGATACTTTTTCGGCCTCCATTCTCCTCTTCTTCGCCTTCGTCTTAGTTATGCAAATTCCGAATCGAATGGTATAAAGATGTGTAACGACCTTCGGCAATCAATGCACAATTGAATGTATTCTCGGGGTCGACTGCAACACATTTGCATAGGGCTGCCCTTTACTTCATGCAACCCTCTTAATATTTCTTGAATTTGTATGCAAATTGCAAAATAACGGTCGTTGAAATGTTTTAAGGAAAAGCAAAAAAAAAAATACTAAACGCAGAGGTGGAAAACTTTAAATCTTCTGCAATTTTTTTTAATGTACCTGCAATCCGTCACATGCAAATCTCGAGGAGATAGAAGGTCCCAGTTGCAGTTTTTTCCCTCATGCAGTAGCATCTTGATGCAGCTGTACCCCATGTTCGCTGTCGTCCCGTCTGTTCGCGCTCTCCACTGCTTTTCTGTAAGCATTTAACTTACATTTTTTAAATTGTTCGTTATTAATATTTTCGGTGCTCGCCATTACTGTTTCCTCCGAACCTCTGTGGTCCTCTCCTTCTCCGTTCCCCTGGGCAACCACTCTGCGATGCCAAACCCATTAATCATGTTTGAAAATTAAGGTCAACCGCATTTCACGGAGCCGTTTCTATCTGTTCAGTTTTCCACTGCATTTTTTGGCAGGGCTGCGAGATTCGTAGGGCGCTATCTTTGACCGAAACTAGTTCGCAAGTGCGTTCAACTCCCCCGCCCCACCGAGAGGGCGCTCGAAACTGATAATGCAACACAAAAGTACGAGCACGAGTATAAAAAATGAAAACTTGCAGCAATTGCTCATAATCTGGACACTAGCATTTATAGGCTCTAGGCACTCAGCGTGCTCTCGGCATTTTCTCCGCTTTTAATCTTATCAAAGCTTTCCCCTGCCCTATAATAGTGTCAGCGAAAGTGTAACATAAGAAACAAAGGACGCCGAATCAAAGCTCGAATGCACTTCACGCTGATCCAAGAACTCGTCTCGATAAATGGGCAATGTATGGACACGACGGTTCGGTTCCTATAGAGCCCCCTTTGGCACGACACGACTGCTCACATAGTAAGTACATATTTACATATACATATGTACATATATGTATGTATTTACATATGCATACTAATACTAATGATAAACACATCATCTGGAATGTTCCTTAATTATTATTCGCCTTTTGGTCAGTGTTAACTTTGCTGACTTTTTAACTAAAGTATGAAGATGTGGATAAGGATTAGGACCAAGATGAAGATGACTTCCAGCCCTGAGCCATAGATCATTATGGAGGATTAGCAGAAAGAATCCGCACATAATCCAACCGCAGTGCAGACACTCAATGAAGGTGAGTCCTATCCTCATAATGAACAGTTTGACCAGGTAGGTGCCATCTAATGCAATTTTGTTGTGTGATGTGGTGTGGACTCTTGTGGAATGTGATTCTCGTTGGATGCCATCTATAATTCGCAGCAGAAACTTCCACTTAATAGAGGGAGACCCTAGAAATTGCATTGTTCTGACATTGCTTCTTATCGCGTATTTGTGTTTGCAAACTGCACTACGAATGTGTGCGGTTCTCAGGCATCTTGGAATTTTCGCGATAAGTTCAATCGGACAGGGTTCTTTGTGCAGCTTCTGGTCAGCACATGGAGACGGTACGGCTCAGAGCGACTATTGCACTGACCTGCTGTTTATGCGTGTTTATGATTCATGGCGAAAGGGTTTAATTAAGGAAAATAAAGGTTTATGTCTTTATTGCTACTCACAAAAATGTGCCAAAATAGTTCAGTGGAACTACAGGATAGGAAAGAAAGGATTTTCTTGGAACTGGGCTGCTCTGCCTGGGGTGATTCAATCAATGTCTGAGTATCTTAATAGCCACGATGGATATTCATCATTTGTCATGCAAAACGAAAATGCAAAACTAAGGAAATATAAAAAACAAAAGGAAACCGCTTCGATGAAGCGAGACCTAGCGTAATTTCCCGTATTTCCCAGACAACCCTTTCCTTAGTTTCCCCTCCCTGCTGCGCTCTCCTGTCAGATCGTCAGCGGAGGTCCTTGTTCAGACTGTGCTTATGCTGGTCCTGGCCTAGTCCTGGTCTCGCCCTCAAGTATCACCTTTTGTAGCTTGAAGTTGTTAACGCATCTTTGAAGTTGCATCGACACGTGAAAATTCTGTTAGCCCAGATTCCCATACAAAAGCAATTAGCGAAGATGAAAGGTAAACAGAAGCTGCCGCCGGACAACAACAATCTGCCGAGCACCACTGAGCGACAAAGGACCTCCTATTCTGTCCATAAAAATGCACTCGCACTTTGGTGCTATTTGATGTCAAACTTCTCTTTACGGTTTTATTTTGATGGCACTGCATCAAATCTTTTCGATAATTCGCCGCCCGCTCAAATATATGCGGGGAAAACGGCGAAATACAAATATATACTAATGTGTATGTACATATATATGTATGTACATATGTATGCATCTATCAGATTCTCGAATATACTATATTTACTTATGCATTTGTATCCGACTAAGTCTGCTTGGTGCGTGGTGTGGAGTGTGTTGGAGCAACAGTCGGAAAACAAACAAAAACTGCAGCCGACGAAAATGAATAAAAATGCAGCCAGAAGACAAGAAACCCAGAAAAACGAATACAAATACGAATACGAAAATGAGGAGGAAACGGGGAAACAAACAGAGAGCAGCAAAGCAGAGAAGAGTCGAAAACGTTGAAAATTTATCGCGCGCGTCATTTGCTGCAACTATGGAAAGTAGCACGTAGACCCGCGACGTTGCTGCTTTCATTGTGTTGGTGGCAGGGGAGACTGGCGAACGCAAAGAGAGAGGGGTCTTGGTGAGGGGAGCGAGTAGTAAAGAGCGGCCCATTCGCGCTACGCATGGGTCATTGCACTTTTTCAACGCACACAGATGCAAGGCATAACTCAGATACAAATACAAACGCAGGAATAGATAGATAGCAAAGGGCAACATTTCAACAAAAATTGTGTAAAAAAAGGCACGAAAAATTAGGCGAAAGCAAACAGAAACGGAGAGAGACAGGCAGAGAGCGACAACGGGGGCCGCAAACAAGATACAGATACATCTGTGCATGTGTATACCACATTCACATATGCGGCATGTGGGGAGCGAAACGATTGCAACTGCAACTTTGCATTGGTCGGCCATTTTTAATGTGTTTCGTTTTGCTCGCGGATATACATATGTATGTACATACATATGTAGATATGTACAATATAATTTATAAAATAGTACATGGTCGCGAGGAAACACCTAATGGTACCAGTGTTGGCGATCTTTAACAGGGGATAAAATGAAATTAAAATATGTTTGCAATAATACACATTTTTCCACAGAGTAAGGTACAGATACTCGTACAGATACATGTACATATGTATGTACATGTGCTCTCCATGTAGCATGCAGATACTAATGCGCTTGCTATTAATAGCGATCCATGGTCATGCCATTTGTGCCGCCAACACCACTCGAGTGTGCAGTTGCAGTTTGCTGCACATGCACATGTGGAAATTCTGGAAAAGGAAATGGGAACGTTGCCAGGCCCCGACTCTAGCTCCGGCTGCGGCCACGCCTCCAACTCCTGGTCTAGAAGTACAGATAGCGTTCAGAGCAGCGCATGGGGTGCGTTTTCCACGATGTTTTCACCAAAAAGTCACTATCGCTCACAGTCACAGACACCAGCACGCTATTCGAATTTTATTTTTAGCAATTTGAGAGAAATTTCAAGTCGAGCGTTGTGAATTTTTCGTTTCAATTCATATGGCCACGGTCACATGGCTGGGGGTGGGGACGCCTCCGATCTTACATACCTTCTTGTATCTTGTTGTTTTATGTGTCTCTCTGTAATATGTATCTGCGAGATGATAGAGGCACAGCCGGCCCTCACGATGCTATCGGGCTTTCCCGTCGTAGAGCACGTTTCACGAATGTATCTGTGCGATCCGGCTAGAGCTTCGATTCTAACCATATTTCGTTTCGCAGTTTCGCAAATAGTTTCGCCACGTTTCCACTAAACTTGTGCTGGAGTCCGCCATTTTCACAGGCATTACTCCGCTCGATTCTTTTATGTGGCTTGGGCTTGCTGTTCACTTGAGTTCACTTCTGGTGGAAAACTCGCGAGGATCGGTGCACACACTCGGCGGTCAGTATGCAAAATGCCGCAAAGATACGAAACATAAAAATAAGCGAAAAACAACTTCCCAGAAATGTTTCAACGAGCTTGCTTACACATGTACGACCG